TCTGTATTATCTTGCATTATCGATGCACACGTGATTCGGATATTCACGCATAGTCTGTATTATCTTGCATTATCGATACACACGTGATTCGGATATTCACGCATAGTCTGTATTATCTTAACGAATATTGCGATTCAACCCGTGGCTATTTGCCAGCTATTAACGTTTACGAAACACCGTATTACATACGAAAAGTTAATTATCATTTAATTGAGTTCGCTATTCATTTATCGAATTATGTCTACTACTCACTTGAAATACTTATATAACTGGATTGACTGCGGAAGTTACTGTATCAATTAATAGAAAGAAAGTGCATTATATTGAAGTTATAGAATCTCACACAATATTTATATAAACCTAAACATTTTCTCGATTGCTTTACTTTCCATATGTTTATTTGCTTACTTGTTAAGTGAGAGATATATATACATCTAACGATTATTTTCGACGAATTACTAGTTGACACAGTACTTCAACTTATTTATGCTTTGTATATTCTTGCTATATTTATGTAATGTGTTTTGAATAATATGTTTAACTTGTATGATCCTTTCTTCAAACAGTTTTAAATAATGAAATCACTTGACTGTTTTTCTCTAATCGAGATACAAATAACGGAAATCTGAGTTCTTACAATCATTTATGATGAGAGATTAACTTCTTGTAGCGACACATGAGAAAGAATTATGCATTGATAATTCAACATTATCTTATTTTGTATTGATGCTATGTGTTCTCTGTATAACATTTATTACGATATATTCATTGATTATAACATAACTGCCATGGAAATACACAATCTCTTTACCGACGTAACAACAAGAAAAGTATCGTTCCCTTTTCTATAATTCTTGAGCTCAGGCTCCTGCGCGAGCTTGTACGTTTTAAACAGAGTGCGTACTATTTTTTTATTATTCAACGGGTGGTGCACTTGCACTATGTCGTTCATGCATGAGAGCTGTATCGGGCTTCGTCGGATGAGACTCTGACCCTGTCGGCGGTCGCGCGACTCGTCCTGCCATGGCGCAAGCGAAGCTCGACGTGCCGGAGAAATCTGGCGGCGGCATTAAAGAGAAGAATAAGGATTCCGAGGAAAAGGAAGGTCCCACTGTTGTGCCAGAATGCGCAGTATGCCTGCAGCCTTGTATCCATCCAGCACGATTATCCTGCAGCCATATATACTGCTATCTGTGCGTAAAGGGTGTCGCTAATCAGAGCATGCGGTGTCCGATGTGTCGTCAAGAGATCTCACCGGATTTTCTCGAGAGACCTCAGCTGGTGGAAGTGGAGGAGCCTCAGAAGGAGTCGGAACATCCTGAGGAAGAGTACCAATGGTTTTACGAAGGTCGAAATGGTTGGTGGAAATATGATCCGAGGACAAGCAATGATCTGGAGACTATTTACAAACTAGAGGACGCGCAATGCGAACTTTTGATCTGTGGCATGCTTTACGTAATTGACTTTGAAAAGAAATGTCAATATAGAAAATACAACCCACGTTACAAACGTAATATCAAACGTGACAGAAAAGATGCTCCGTGCAAGGGTGTCTCGGGTGTACAATAACATTTGTAAAATGGATTATTTGTCCGTTAAGATCGAAGATTCCAATTCCAAACCCATATTTAACCCTCACAAGTCACACTGGGTCGATTTTACCCGACGCCAACTCAACACATGCGTATATCTCCAAATAGGGGAGGGGGGGAAAGTTGGTTAGTAGCTGGAAAAATCGCTTTTTGGTAGTTGAAATAAAGGCCCACAAGTGTCGCTCCAGTGCTGGTTTGCCTGTTGAGCAGGAAGCGTCCGAAATCTCCTGTCGGGTAAAAAAGACCCAGTTGGACTTCAGTGTCTCAATTTCGTCATTATAATAAATCCAAAATACAGGTTTATTTGAAGTGAACACATTTTATTTGAAGTGAATTAAAGTGTTTTTGTATACGTGTAATGTTTTTTTTTTTATAATTGGAGTATTTATAATGTAAATGTGATTGTTTTCCAGCAATATGGAGACACGTGCGCGCGTGAGACGCATAGCAAAAAATAAAAATAAAAAAATTCAATAAAAATTCAATAAAAATTTTGAATAAAAATTCAATTTTTAATAAAAATTGAATTCAATAAAAATTTTGATAATAAATTTTTTCTTAATCACTTGTACACCCAATACTTTACACATACTTTTTTTCTCTTTAAATAATCATTATTTAATGATAAAAAAAGTTTAAATAATGATTTTTATAATTTTTTTTCAATTTTATTGACAAAAACAAACGTACATGCACGAAAAATACGTTTTAAAAAATACCGATTTTCAATCAAAAAAAAAATTGTTTAATTAAAAATTTTTTAAAAAATGGCTTATACAACCTTAAAGTACATGTCTTCAGCTTTAAAATGACCACCTATAAAGTTTATTTTTTTTAATTTTTAAAGGAGAAACAACAGTTTGAAAAAAAATCAGTTTAAAAAAAAAATGTCTTCATATTTTTCCAAATACAAAAAAAAAGGATAAAATTTAGAGCAAAACAAACTAAACAGTCGTATTTCTGAGAATCTGGCGATGAATTTAAAAAAAAAACACGTCCCAAAAGCTTGCTTAGACTTGAAGTTACAAGCGTTTCAAAATCGCTCGGGTAAAAAAGACCCAGTGTGACCCCAATGCGCTGTGGCGTAAGTGTGACTTGTGAGGGTTAACAACATACTCAACTATATTCATTGGTTTCATACAGCATTATACAAATACTTGATATCGGGTATATACATGCATGTACAATCACGTTCAACATTGCACATGATATTGTTCAGCGTGTGATCGAGCCACGTGCAAGTGCTCCTTCGAAGATTGTGACGTAATTTAAAAATAGTGTGTGAAAAAGACAGTATAAAAAACATGGAACATCTCGATGAAACGGAACGCAACCTGGTGGAAGAATCCAACCAAATCGCTACCTTGGGCGAATATTAGCGCGCAGTCGAGAGTTCGATACGGTTCGAGTACGTTGCAAACAGCCTCCAGATACGATGAACACTCACGGTGCACACTACTACGTTCCGATTCAGGACGAAACGTGTGAGAAACAACACAATGAGTAAGTACCGCTAATTTTTGTATATACTTGTGCAAAAAAAACTTTTATAAACATAATTGTATTTTTTCAGTTTTGATAAACCCCGCTACACGCCTCGTATTTTGGGAAAAAGATTTGCCTTGACATCGACCGCATATAAATTTTTGGATGTTGGAATCAACGCTGGACCTATGTCCTCTGTGGATATACTTATTGGCGATAACCGAGGCAATCGGATAATTCTGCCTCATGCAACGTGGGTGACATTCATCGAAAAACGTGCAGGTATTCAGCGACTCGTGCAGTCGCCGGCACCATCATCGCTAGCGTTTCGAGATTTGGAACTCGTTAAAATACGCGACGCAGATATTGTAAAATTGACATCGTGCGACACCAGCTTGTACATGAAACCGTCAACCGTACTCTTCCTGTTCGAACTAGAACATTGCGTTGAAAATGTGTATTTTTAACTATGTCAAAATATTCATGGCGTAAGTGAAAAATTCAAACAGTTTGTAACAATTTTACGCCAAAATTGGATCATCGATAAATGTAATGCAGTTAAAATCTTGCGTGAAGTTTATGATAAAAATTTGATTATTGATTGCGAATTATTAGCCTACGTTTTAGATACTATTGTGTATATTGCGCTACATGAGAAATAAATAAGTATATAATATGGTTAAAAAATTTCCTTTTCATTTACCGTTCCTTGTCGTTAAGCTGTCTTCGTTTATCGTTTACTTAAATGTAATATTAAAATTAAATATCGCGAAGATCTAAACGATTAAATATCGTTGGCGAAGAAAAGATACGCGATCGTGAGCGAAAACGCGCGAACGGGGGAGAGAGACCGCGCGAACGAGAAGACGCGCGCGAATGGAGGGGGCCGGGAGCGAAAGACCGCGCGCGAAGGAGAGATAACGCGAGCGGGAGCGTATGACGTCACGCGGACTCCGCGGCGCGGCGAAAACGCGAACGCGGTCGCCCCTCCCCGCGGCGCGGCGCCTGAAAACGCGAACGTGATCGTCTCTCACCCAGCGCATTACAAAATGTATTAAAAATATTTAACTGGTGGTCGCGACACCAGAAAAAATTATGATTTTTGAAATAAACTAAATATGTATATATAAACGTTTTATTTCCTTTTCCTACATACTTTGTAGTATAATATAGATGTTTTAGCTGTTCAAGAGCTGTTTTTAGTTGTTTAAAAGTAGTTTGATAGCGGTTCAATAGCA